AAATAAATACAAAACAGGGATCGGGATGTGGCTCAGTGGTTGAGTACCCTGAGTTCAATCTCAGGTACCCCCTCAAAAAAAGGTAAGGAGAAAACTATAGGCAGCAACTGGAGAACAGCAGTTATACTGACTGGTAACTTCTTGATTGCAATAATGCATGACAGAAAACAATGGAATGATATCTTTGATGTCTTAAAAGAAAATGAATTAGAAGTTCTATATCTAGACAGAATATGTATTTCCAGAATGAGGAAGAATTAGAGACTTTTTTGAATAAGCAGACACTGAGGCAGGATCTTACTACAGTATCTTTAATACAAGAATTTTTCAGAATATATTCCAAACAGAAGGAAAAGTGGTTCTAGAAAGCAAATCTCAAATTTAAGAGGAAGTAAATACTAAAGAACACTGCAAATATTGGGAAATATAAACCAATACTGGTTTTGAAAGAAACAATAATGTCTCTTGGTGTTAAAAAAATTATGATATCAAACAGGAATAGCATGTACATTGAGATGGGGATAAATGGATTAAAAAATTATAAGGTAATATTAAGAAGAGTATAAAGAATTAGACTAGTTCTAGTCTTTGATACATATGATAAATAACTTTGATAAGTATGTTGTAATCGTAGGATAATTGCTAAAAGAACAGAAATCAAACTAGTAGAGAAAAACGATGGAAAGATGACGTATTAAAGAACAGCAACAAAAAGACCTACATACTGATAAAAGCAAGAAAAAAAAAAGAAAGAAGCATACAATATGATTTCATTTACATAAATTCAAAGCAAACTGTTTTTAAGGGGTTTTGATATAGGTGAGATAATTAAAATTATAATTAAAATTTTTATAATTTTTATAATAAGATACTGACCAAAACGCAAGCCAATGGCTAATTTTGGGGCAAGAAAGAGGCTGTGATGACAAAGGGACAGGTGACAGGTGGGGCTTGTGGAGGGCTGGCTGCGTCTGTATCTTGGCCTCAGCTGTGCTTACACAGGTTATTGAATAAGAATTATTGCAGTGTACATGGATGTGTTCTATTTTTAACTAAAAATGGCTTCTGCATTATTTTGTAGCATCTTTTAAAATTTATCTTGAGTTTTAAATCACAGTACATTTCTTTTAAATTATGAGAATATGAACACCATTCTTTCTTTCATAACTCAGAAAATTGTGTCCAGAGACACCAGCAGTTTTCAAATGCTCCTCCTGACCAGCCATCCTGGACCAAGCTTGTTCTGGTTTGAGGTAAATTGAACAAAATAGAGACGTGCATGCATATGCACAAGGGAGACAATTTTCTTTCTCCATAAAATATGTCTCCTTTTCTGAAATTTTATCCTTCCTAGATGTTGGATTGTGATATTTTATAAAGTCCTTTCGGTTATAGCATGATAATGATAGTAGGTGGTTGGTTACTCTTTAATTTCTATCAAAAAATAAAAAAATAAAATAGATGAATCATTCTTTTTCTTTAATAGGTTCCTGAGGACCTACAGAATGCAAATCACTAATCTCCTCAGATCAGGGAGGTAATTCTGTATCTATTTTTAGGAGAAGGTTCCTTTTGATAAAAATGTGACTTCAATTTGTTTATGAACTGAATGCTGTGTCCCCTAAATGCAAGTGTTGAGTCCTAACCTTCAGTGTCATGATATCAGGAGTGAAACCATTGGGAGGTGATTAGGCAACGGAGGGACAGCCCTCATGATAGGACTATTGCCTTTACATGAAGACATGAAGAGCAATAAGAGCTTGGTCTCTCTCTACCCTCTATCACATGAGGTTACAGCAGAATGATGGCCAAATGCACCCACACTGAGTACCCTCAGCAGACACCAGATGTCTCCATGCCTTGACTTTGGACTTCCTGGTATTCAGAACTGTTAGAAGTAAATCTCTGCTTAAGCCACCCAGTCTGTGTTATTCTGTAAAGCAGTTCTAAGTGAAGAAAACTGACATGAACTGAAAGAACTTCAGGGAGAAAAAGAGGTAGTCAAACATGGAATGTAGGTTCAGGCACAATATTCTGTGACACACATATTAAATATGAAAATGGGAAGAGTGAGACCCAGTGAAATAAGAAAGGGGCTCTCAGAAAATATGCAGAAGTTTACTTCTGGATATACAAATGGATGGGTTTCTTCATTTTTAGTATTAGTGTCTGCACACAATATTTTATGCTGCCCATCGACACACATTTCTTTGTTGGAAAGCCATGCATGTTGGTGTTCCTTGAATTAATAAATTCCTTCTTCTATAAATGTCTGAATCAACTCAAGTACAATAATATCATAATTCAACAGAATAATAATATCATGATTATACCATATTCTAAGTTATGTACAGTATATTTTTAAGTAGAACATTAATAATTGTTTTATTTTATATATTATTTTATATTTTTATTTTATATATTGTCTTAATTGTTTTATATTAAATATTTAATTGTTTTATATATTTTAATTGTTTTATATGTTTATGTATTGTTTTAACTGTTTTATATATTTTTGGTTTTATTATATTACTTTTATTACTTACGAATTATTTTGGCAGATAGCATGATCTCCAATTTTATAGGTGAGGGTTGGAAACTCAACTTTGTCAACTACAAAGTAGTAAAAATAGAATTATATCCCTTCTTGTCCAACTTCAAAGCTTGCTCTTAGCTACTTTGCTTCTTTGTCTTGCTGCTGCATTACAGATCATTCTATAAAGATTAAAATACTATTTATGCTTTTAAACCACATTCTACATCACTCAGACAGCTTCTACTGACCCCTTGGAGGAATGGATTTTTTTTTAACCAGAAGCACAATGAACACCAGGACATGTCAAAGGGGGAGCAAAGGAAATTCAGAAACTTGAGCATAAATCTTTTAAAATAAAACCACGACATCTTTAATCAAGGCCTGGCAATCATCGTATCGTTTCTTTGAGGCTCCAATTGGTAAATGTGGGCTATCCCACTAGGCCTTTAATACTTGGTTAGAAATGAATCCAAGAAGTTGACTAGCAAGACAATTCATGCAGTACAAACACGAATCTGTAATTCTCTTCCCCATTACCACAAAACAGTTAGTTCCTGCACTGAATTCACTTTGAAGACAATGAGTGCCTGGGAGAAACCATAAGAGCATTGAAAATGGGGCCAGAAGTAATAAATAGGGACTGCCAAAAAAATGCTTTCGAATTTCTTCTACAAGTCAGAGCTATTGTCAGTTTGTAACAATTCTGAAGGTTGAACTGGAGGCATACAATTAGTAAGCTAACTTGCAAGGTTTGCCTACAATCTAAAAGCAGTTTTCTTTCACCTGTATATAATTAAACAGCTGAGAATTATATCTCCTGGTACGAGGAGATTAAAATAATAAAATAAAAGTAAACCAAATGCTTTAAAATGGAGTCTAATCTCTCTCCATTATCCCAGCACATTCACATAAACTCTGCTCCAATGGAATTCTTCTCACTCAGCAGGATGAAGATCATCTTCTCAGCAGCCAAACCCAGCAAGGCCAGCCACTCTCCTCCCTTCCCAACATCCCCTTAGAACACATTCAAAGGGAAGACAAAGGCCCTGCAAGTAGATGAGGTTGTTTTGTGCCTGGCCCTTAGGGGTATTTTATTTTCTTAAAAAGATTATCTCAAACTTACTGTAGCCAAAAAATGAAAACAAAACAGAACCTAAAACAAATTTCCGAGGCAGTTTAAAAATACAAAGGACTGAGATATATTTTTAATTTATTCATAATTAGTTTACAGATTGGACCACACCAAGACACCAAAACAGCAAGCCACTTTGGGGATAAAGGCTATTGCAATTATCAGGAGCAAGCCAAATGTTACCTTTTGTTCTCACTAAAATCTCCTTTAAAAAAACATGTCTTAGCAAATGATTTTCTATTTTCTATTTAAAGAGGATTACATAGCAAACATGACTAGTGGCTGTACAGCAAAGAACTTTTCATTGTTTTTTTACCTGCCAAATATAAATTAGTTCATTTTGGTCCACTCCTGCCAGGCAATATGGTCCATACAGTGATGGGCTATGGCAGGTTGGTTCCTGCCTGGAGTCCTTACTAATTAGGAGGCTGTCAGGTACATTGCCTGACCACTGTCTCCTACATCTTTTGGCAAGCAGTTCCTATGTTTGTGAAGCAAGGTATGGGGCTTGAATTGCCCCCGTAACTCTCTCCAAATTGCTCCTACTTACAATCACTGTCAAATCTCAATAGGCGTGAAAGAAGACCTCATCCAGGTACAATGAAGAAACGCTACAAATTTCACTTTGTAATAACTACAAAATACAGAAATTGTATTAGCTCCATTAGATGGAGTCATAGAAATATTCCAAAAGGTTAGCTGGATATAGTGAATGTCAGAGTTAGAATAAGATAAAAAATCACTTTGTTAACTTAGAGTGTTTTCTCATTGGTAACATCCTATATTAAGGTGTCATTTATAAAGAGTTTATTATTATTTATTAATGTGTGGAGCACTTTATAGCATACTAGATAACAACTTAAATTCATGTATTAAAGATGCACATACATGGTTTAATAGGATTTACATCTTATAATATTCTTTAAAACAGCTTCCCATGGTCTCATCCGTTAAGCATTTATTACTAATGCATTTTATAACATACTTTATAATACATTATTTGAGCAAGTAGCTACATTTAGTGATTATTTCATAAATAAGAATAAAGCATTTATAAGTGGCACCTTAATTTAAAGCGTTACCTTCACATTACTAGGGAGCTGCTCACCATTCATCTCATTTTGTGATTATTCTCCAAATGCACCACTTAATAAAACAGACACTAAGTTCTATTTTCCTTTCATCTGATTAAAAGTTTATTGAGTCATTTCCTCTATCTGCTTTCAGATGTTTGTAGCTTAGAAGCCTTAGGGTGATTTCTGATGAAACCAAAATTTTAATTCAACAGTATTTCTGAAAAGATAATAATAGTAAAAACAGAGAAATACTCACTGCATTGGACAGAGCCTGTTGCTTGGATTCTTTGTAAAATTCAAGTTTTCGACTAGAAAGAACTATCCAGGAAGATGACCAGTTTTTCCTTAGAAAAAGAAACAGGAAAAAAATATCATCAGTAGAAAAAAATACATACACAATAGAATAGGAGCAACATTTGAGACTATGTTTTGAACTTGTTTTCCTAAAATTCTCTTCTCTATTAAAAGCAATATTGATATGAAACTCAGATAATAATAAAAACATTTTATTATTTTAGAAAAGTATGACATTTATATAGATGTTTCTTTCTCCATAAAATCTTTTCAACTACTAAGCACCCAATTTTTTGTGTGTCCAAACACCCCACTTCCCATAAAAATTGTTAAACTAAAAGTAGCAAAGTAAAACTAGAGAACAGAAACCTTTCCTCCATTGTTTCTTCTTTACAATGGTTTAGTATATTTCAGAGTCTGAAAAACTAATCAGCTCATGTCATTACTTATTCAAAATAGTTTTATATTGTTTGATCCCACTGGAAATCAAAGAAATGTAACTAAAATTGCTGACATGTTTTTTCCCTCTATGCCTATCATATTGCTAAGGATTAATGAGGGTATAGGAGATGGATTCTCTGGTATTGTATTATACCAAAACAATAGTGTAAATTGGTGCATCTTTCTGGAGTGCAATTTAAAAGTATGATTTTGTTAAAAAATTATTAAGATGTTCATGTACCCCAAAAGTACATGTGATATATGTTTATTTTGTGTTATTTTTTTCATTCCTTATTTGTTCTTGGTAAAAATACATAAGAGTAAAGTGTATTTTGACATAGCATACATTCATGGAGCATTAATAAATCTTTAAAAACTTCTGTCTTTTGACTAAATATGTCCATTACTGTGAATTTAAATTTATTCTAGAGATATATTCTCACAAGTTGCTAAAGCTTTGTGCATAAGGATGAAGTACACCATCATTTGTTAATTCTGCACAAAACATAAAAAGTTAAGAAACTGCTTAAGTAAATTGCACATAACAAATTTATTTCAAGAATAATGAACCCTGAGCTACAGAAGGACTGGTGTGGGAAGATTTTAATTCAGATCATAATATACATATTTCATAACACCATGCTGTGCTATTTACTTATAATATCTTCACCCATCCAAGCCACTTCTAATTAATAATTACATTCATCACAAGTCCAAGTGTTTCCTAAGTGTGCCTTTCATGACTTTCTTGCATATGGCTTATAGGAAATTTTTAATATATTTTTTTTTAAATTTCACTCTGATATCCCCCACTAAAAAGTGAGACCACAAATGGCAGAAGTCTTTTTGTTCTTAACAGAGGTATCTTTATTGCGTAGTACAGAGCCTTGGATGTAAGTACAAAACTTATATCTGTTGAGTTGAAAATTGTATTGGTCTGCAAAACAATTCACGAGTATAACTATAGTAAACCAAGTAGTAAAATAATGGCTTTTGATTTTCCGTTGTATTTCTTCGTCTTTACCAAATTTCCTCCATTGGACATGTATTACTGCTATAATTAGAATAAGTAGGTGTTAGTGTCATCAAGAGTGGTGTTTTTTTGATGGAAAAAAAACTAGAGTTTATATTCATATATAAATTATTTACCCAATATATCATATTATTTCAGTTTGCTTTGGTTTAACATTCAAAATAATTTAATTTGGTTTACAAAACAAAAAGGCTACAGAAATTCTTTATTCAAGTCAATAGAAACCACACAAAAATAAATGAAAAATAACTTCATGATAGTTGTGCAATTTATTTATTTATTGCCTCTTACAATCTAGGATCCTGATTGAAAGGGCTGCTTTGATTCAGTAAGGTTAATATTTACAAAAAGAATTAGGTTACTCTAACATGCCTGAAGCTTTCTTAATGATACACGATTGTGTTAAAAAGGAATAGGATAAACAGGCACACAAGAAACACAATGTGAATTTTCCAATGTATAAATACAAATGTTATGTTCTTGTATCCACTTGTCTTCAAATAAAGAGACAAGTTTTCAATTAGATGATATAAAGTTAAAAAAAGAAAAAGAAAAACTGCTTAGATATTTTCCCTCTGTCTTAGTGCCCATTTCTCCATCAAGGTACCAGTGGCAATATGGTGAATTGAACAGCCATTTCCTTCTCTTTATGCAGGTTATGATATTAGATGATCCAGAACAAGGAAGAGAGAAAAATCCGCAGAAACTCTGGTCTAGGCCCTGAGTCTTTCACCACCATCCTTCTTTGTACCATATGTAGTCCTGGGTACGGAACACCTCAGACATGATGGATCCATATTTAACCTGCCTGTTACATTCCTCACTATATTTTTCATCTTCTGGCAGAGAGAAACTATACCTTAGTTGCTTCCTATCTATAGAAAGTCCTGGATAAATGATTCTGATTTGAATCTGTTTCAGATGTTGATCGTTTATAGAACTTGCTGGCAAAACTCTCTCTTTCTTTAAACTTGGAACTGGAACTAGTTAGAACTAAAGCTGCATGAAATTCAATTATCTCATTGTTCTGTGTTAGGACTTTGAACTTCTGTGAACTGTGTCCCTGTTAGGTAAACCAGATGAATGAGCTGAAGAGGGTCTTAGAAGCTTAGTAATGCAAACTTCTCTCACACCTTACATACAGTGCTATTTCATCTTGAATTTATAAATGGCAAGCACTGAACCATATTAGAATGAAAGTGAAAGCTATTCCAAGGGTAGAATTCTATTGCTTAGAAAGAATTTCATTTCAAAATGAAGAATAAAGTGCTACTGACAAACATTTGGATGCTTCTCTTTCATTTCACTTATCCCAAGATTTCTTTTAAAATGATAATTAGCATGAATTATTCTAAATAACTAGTATAAGTTTGATTTTGTAGCTATGGTTAACTTCTCAAACATAAATAGGGTGAAGGTAACTAATATTTCAACGTACTAACATGGAAATCAAGGCTCAGAGAATTTAGGTAACTTGATTAAGGCCACAAAGCCACACACTTACATTGAAAGTCAATCCAGTTTCTCTGACAACGAAATCAAGACAACAAAGTCTTTAATCTATTTATTAGTTTATACTTTTTTAAAAGCCTATGCAGTGCTAATTTGGTTAAAGATATCATAAGTATCAGATTTTACCATAGGTTTGGTTGAAATTCTCAAATCATAAAATCTTGTGTGTGAAGCCTGTTACAACACATCAGCAATCTGTCACTCTTATTAGCTATTTTACATGTTTTTTTTTAAAGAAATATTGGCAAAACCCCATCCATCCCAAACTCAATACCTGTGCATACTTTAGAAGTCTTCCTGATTTCTTAGACATAAGTCAGTTATATGAGCTCTCAGGCTGCAATGGCCACTCTGTTCCAGGTATGCCACAGCTATTTCACATGCATCACATAATTTAATCGCACAGCCAGTCACAAATATCCATTGAACATTTACACTATTATCAAACACATTTTTTCAACACATGTATCAAACAAAATTCAAAGGGCTGACTATAAAGGAAAATAAGAAGAGACCTCAATGATTTTATCTCTAACTAGAAGACAGGCAAAAAACATAGAAATAAATCCTCTGAATAACTCAGGGAGGTGGACTGTGTCCTAACCACAGGCACACATGCTATAAAGATGGGAATCAGGCCACATCTCCTGGACCTTGGAGCCTATGCTCATTCAAAGGTATCGGCTGTCTCTAGAGCAGGTGGCACCAGCTCTCCCTTTAGTCTTATCTAGCATGTCTTGCAGAGTATCATGACAGAAGTTAAGAAAGGGAGACAGAACCTTTTTCTCCTTACCACAAAGCTATATCCTAACCTGACCTGGACTGTTTTGCAATGCCAGTCATTTTATCCCTGCCTTCCATCCCCATCCTGATGATCAGCAGGTAAATTCATCCATAACACATGTATTATGTGTTAATGCCCCCACATTTCATCCCAACATTTGGAACACTGTGTTTTTGTTTTTTTAAAAAATATATTTATTTTTTAGTCATAGTTGGACACAATATCTTTATTTGTTTTTATGTGGCACTGAGGATAGAACCCAGGGGCTCGTGCTTGCTAAGTGAGCACACTACCACTGAGCCACAACAGCCCTGGAACACTGTGTTTTACCATATACATGATAAAAACTAAATTGCTCAAGAGACTTCACCATTAAGCAAGATATGTAATTCAGAAAATATCCATCTTAATAAGTCAGAGTTCCCAGGAATAAGTAAGGCTATTCCAGGTCTCTGCACAGACTAAGAGGTAAAAATCAGGTGAAAGACCCATGCTAGACTCAGTGTAGAAAACAGATCTTGGGACAAAAAAAAAAATGCAGGCAACTTTAACTTTTCACATACAAAGCAAATCATATCTAAGGGGAAATTACAATTTAAGAAAAATCTTGTCTAACATATGCAATTGCTGAGACATTTTATCTGAGTGGAACACTCAGAGAACTTTCCTAAAACAAATCCTGAGCATGAAGTTGGAAAATGAAAAAAGCAAAATAAAACTCGACACAGACATCATCTTGACATTCTACAAAATGGACACCGGATGGCAGCACATAATAACAGCAACTTTGTAACTGTTTTTCTGGAGAATGCTGGATGGAAAATGGCCCTTAAAATATTCAATGTCATTGTAAGAGCCTGTGAGCATAAGTTCTGAGTTTACCACATTTATTTGCTCTAAACATCAACACTTTGTATCCTATACTCATCACTCGTGCATCCTTTAGCTAATGACAAATGACAGAGGAAAGTATCTGAGATAACTTCATAAATTTCAGATACTGTTACCTGACTTGGTCATGCTGGATTTGGCTTGATCCTCCACCAGTGATTTTACTGTAGTGTCCATGACCAATTTACCACAAAATCACTCAAACACTTAAATGTCCTGACTCATCTCAGACTGGTAGCTCTAGAATCTTATTTTTTTCTCTCTCATATTCTAAGCTTCTTATAATTTGCAACTGCTAAAAGGTGGGTCCAAGAGACATACATCTCTATTAGTGTGGCAAGAATATAGAAAAAGACAGGTTTAGCCTGTAAGAATTTATTACCATAGTG